TCGACGCAGCTACGTGCTATCTTGTCGGTCGTTTCTAGACGTGTGTTTCCTCCTTGTTGCGTTCCTAATCAGTCGCCTGGTGGGCAGTGCATGCAGGTCTGTTATAGTTGGGGGGCTCAGGTATATATCCCACACGGCATGGCTTGCCGTTGTTTCGTCTCCTAGCGCTCCCCGCTGCCATAGACGAGAGCATACACCGCAGCGTTTTTTCTGACAACAGGCACAAGGGGAGACTTTCATATTGCGATGCTCCCCCCCCCCCCCTCCCCCCGCCGACAGGCACGGCAGCAGCCAACCCGGGCCGAACGGTCGTTCGGTCTTGGTGGGAACTTTGACGGTACGGGGGCGGAACCCTTGGCAGCGGTTCGTTGGGATGTGGCGGCTCTGGGGGCTATTTTCGCGAAGCGTCCGGTATATCGCGGACATGCGTTTGGCGTCGTCGGGGGTGGACAGCATCCCAGCCCCGGATCCTGAGCCACAGCAGGAGGAGGCCGTTGGGGAGGGTGCGGAGAGCTCGAGTAGTACTGGGGGTGACGCGAAGTTGGATTTTTGACAAGCAGAGTCGAGAAGTTTACGAAGAAGAGTGTCGAAATTTTACGAAGAGAGTGTCGGCGTGGGGAGGGGGTCCTTGTTTTTGACTGACGCTCGATGAACGTGGTCGTGCTTATGTTGTTGTTGTATGGTGTTGGTGACGCTTCTCCCCTGTCCCTTCCATCAATAGATGGATTACTTTACCCCCCTAGATGGCTCTGGGTGCGAAGACCGGGCTCGTGTAGTTGCGGAATGCCGGTTGTACACGAAGGAGAGGGAAGTGTACATGGCTGAGCTGGGACAAGTAGAAGGAAGGTACAGGGAGATGCTTGAGGCATGGAATAGCCAGGAGAAGACGGTAGCTGTACTGGGGCATAGGAAGTGGGTTGAGAAGGCGGAAAGTTATATCGATAGGATAGATAGACTAGAGGGAAGACATTTTTGAGCCACCTTTGTCAAAGCACGAAAAAACGATTGGCCATCGGTGATTGGTCCTGTGGGAACAATGCTCCGTCCTCTCGAGAACGCGTGGTCAATGGTCCAACCGCTAAGGCGTGCACAACATAAGAGTACGCGCCCCCCCCCAGATGGATGAATCCACCGCCGCCTTTGGGCAAGATCGTTTGGAAGAGTGTTAAGTGTTAAGTGACCACGTCGCGACCACCGCACGGGTGTCCACCAGAGTTTCACTTTTCGCTTTTGGGTTTTTGAACCCATGATCTTTCTCTCAGGAAACCAACTCAGTCAGTGTTTTGGGTCTTCTGGGGAGTTATGTCTTTGTCACAGCAGTGTGGGCTGTACGACAATAGCCAGATGAACCCTCTCGGTGTTGAGCGGGGTAGATAGCAGTCGCGATCGGGCTTCCTGGAGCGTGGACTCGTTGTCATCCCTCCCTTGCACTCCCTGGTGTAAAATACTAACACCTACGCTCCGGAAGACAAGAGACATTTTTGTGCTGTGAGATGTCGTACACAATAATACATCGTGGGTAGAACACGGCCGAAATATTTCTCCTGCCATGAGAGACCTCGGGGTCGACGGGAAAGAGTTCAAGTTCTTTGCGATGGATGGATGGATGGCTTGTCGTGAGAGCCAATTTGGTGGTGTTGTGGGCCGAAAATTAGACAGAGTTTGGCGAAAGGAGGCGGTATAGTCCTCAGGGGATTGCTCGTGTATGCACGACATTGCAACAGGTTCATTTGCGAGTTTGCGATTTTGGACGATTTTTTTTGTCAGTTTTCAGTCGACAAAACAATTGGGCGCGTAAAGTAGGACAATATGCGCCCTGCTACATAGGTACCGTTTTGCTTGCGGTGCGTGGGTCTGTTGGTCTTGTGATTTTGTTTGTTTGACACGTAACCCGAAGCCCTTTTTTTGGTCACACCACCAGGGCGTGGAGTGGGGCTGGCCTTTCTGGTAGGCCAAAAACAAGAACCAACGGTAGTATAGCGCCTTCCCCGGCCTCATCAGAGTACGAGATTATCAGCTTCTTCAGGGTATTGTATACATGTTGTTTTAGAATACTGCTGCTGCTCCTCTGATTGAAGGTCTGCTAGCTTCCGTGAGTGAGCCATGGGCTGAGGGTGTTTATGGCTTTACTCTATGTATACATTGACCTTTACTCCGTTCCTTTGCGATTTTGGGACTTGCCTACTCTCTGGGCCCGTCTTTCGATTTGCGTGGTGTTAAAACTTGCTTTGCGAAAAGTGTTGGCTGTTTGGAGACCTTATGGTTAGGAATGTTTTCGCCGATTTGTGTTGATTTGTCTGTGTCCTTTTGTATCTCTTAGGTTTTTCGTATCGCCTTCCTTCTTTGTATGGGTAGTTGGCGTGCGACCTGCGACCAAGGAGGACGGCGTTCGCGTCAGCGGGACTGGAGTGTTCGTAATATCGGGTGGATATTACTGCAGAAGGAACTGAGCAGAGATCGGAACGGTTTTTAATGTGAAGACAAAAACAAGACAAGAGAAGAACAACCACCACACAACAGTCTGTGGTGTTGGCGAGTCTTTCATGACGAAGATTGTTCGTGTTTACAAAATAAGTCCCCAAGGTCAGCCTTGAAGTCTTATCAACGACAAACAAACACCGGGCAGAAACCCTCCCTCGGCGAAGTGCGAATGAATATGTTCTATTTTCATAGGCACTGTCTGTAACGCAGTGTTTAGCACCACGAAGACTGCCAGTTCGAGATAAAAAAGCCCTGTCTAAGGGACGTGTTGGCAAGTTTTTCTTGGAACCTGCTGAATATATTATAATTTGCTTCTTGTTTGGGTGGTGTACAGAGTACGCCGTGAGGAAACCGCGCCGCTGCTATGTACCTTTTCTTCCTTCAAAGGAACATAAAAATGCATCGCTACAGCAGTATTGGCTGATTGCCAAGAGCCGATCGTGGTACATTATGTGTGCACAGCAGGTGCACGGCATGCAAAATACTGATAAAAAGAAGTAAATGCGTAATCAATGCGTCGTGCGGCATAACAACGGTATTTGAAATCGCGCCGCATGTAAACCCGCCGCGTGTAACGTCGGGCACTGCCGTTCATCATCCGTTCATACCCCCAGAGATTGGTCACACCATTCCCGTTCCGACGCTGCAGCTAGCAACACAGCGGCGGCGTAGCAGCGGCTGCACCATACGGCACGCGATGTATCGAACGGCATTGGCAGCGGCACTCGGCGCCGCGGGTTGGCTACTATCCTTGCCTGCTACCGCGGCTGCGTCGACGAAGGCCGCGGTCGTGCCCAAAAGTGAGAACGAAGAAAGCAATCAAGCAAGTGTTGCCAGTTGCGAGCCCTCATTCATGCTGTGTGGTTTCACTATGGAGCATACGCAGATGATGGGGCGTGATCACAGGGCACCAGGGCTAACTCGCGAATGAGGCGCGGTTATAAACATGAACACTTTTTATGATATAACTTGATTGCCTGTTTTCTAAGTACACAACACGTCACGTGTAGGTAGGTAACCTACATGTCTATGTCTGTAGTACCCATCGTTTTTCCAGTGCAACGCCAACGTGCTCGGCGATGTTTAGCCTTGGTCATGTGACTTGTTTTATTCACTACCTGCCTCGCACACATGCCATCCTTGCATCGGGGCTTGACTCATGGAAACTGCTTCGCTCTACCAGGTGATGTAGTGCTGTAGCACACTACATGTTAATAGATGAATCCTTGGCTGCGATGCATGGACAATACTACAAGACATGAAGACTACTATGTAGTCTACAGTATAGCAGATGTAGGTTACACACCAGCAGCAAAAAAAACGTTACACCAACTACCTGGCTACATACAGTATGTACACAAACTTATGAACATATCCAACTGTTGGGATGAAACTGGTCGTATCGGCGTGTAGGAGGGTGTGAAAACCCTGCTGCAGTGACCGTTGTCGCCGGTTCGGGCCTGAAGTCGGAGAATGGAGTTCGGGTGATCGATTACAACATCAGATCGAAGTGGGTGGCCAAGGGCGAAGGGGAATCGCTCTGGCTGGAGCTCGCATCCCCTACTGTACTCGATTCTGCCGCGATCGCGTTTCGGAAGGTAGGAGACCGTTGATGACTAGCTGGGGTGCCGAGACTGATTTTGTTTACGGCGACTTCACAATTTGTGTGTGGGTGTTCAATTGATTTGCCGATTTTCTATTTCAGTTTCGGGGACGTGATATCATGTTGTGTAGAGACTCCGGGATACTCCATTCGTTATACTCAAATATTGTAGTAAAAGAGGAACAAGCAGATGTAGCTCGAAACACCAGTCACGTGAATGCGAGTGGGCCTACCGGGCATCCCATCCGTCTCGAGACACGTTGCGCTTTCATTGGTATGCCATAAGCATGTTGGACGGGAGCGCCCGTTTCGTAATGCTCGACTGATCGACAGGGACAAACGAGCACTAGTAAAACCTTTTCTGGTTCCGTCGTGTTTTTGTGGTCTAAGCCTATGCAACTGACTCTGTCACCGTTACACTTGCCGCAATTAACGTTGTGCCTTTAAGGGGAACAAACGTGTCCACAAGTTCAGCATATACCTCGTCACGACGGAGAACCAAGCCGAGCTAGTCTATGAAGGGGAAAGCTCGGGCGAGACGAAACACTTTCAGATCTTCTCCTTCGGCGAGAAGGCAAGTCCAGGGGCGGAAAGCGCCCCTGAGGGGGGCGGGCGGAGGGGGGGGGACGTACTCTAATGTCTTGCATGCCTTAGCGGTTAGACCATTGACCACGCGTCCTCGAGAGGACGGAGCATTGTTCCCACAGGACCTATCACCGATGCCCAATCGTTCCTTCCTACATTGCCAAAGGTGGCTCCAGGGGCGGGGGAAGAGAAAAGCTGAGATGACTGAGATGTGCTACATACCAGCTAGAGCAACAAACCCCATGTGGCCGACGAACAGAGCGCATTCGCGCAAGGACCGCCACCTCTGCCTCTATACCAAACAAACACGCATGGGAATGGCTTCTAAACTAACAGGCGCAAGAAGCGATGGCGGTGACGATCGTGGGCTACGGCAACAGCAAGAACCGGTGGAACGGCTACTCGGAGGTTGAACTGTGCGCTAGCGACACCCCTGTCGAGGCACCGGAAGTTGATATCGAGATGCCGAAGACCGAGACAGAGACAAAGACTGAGGAGATGAACAACAGCGGGCTGCCTTTCCCTACGGGAAGGAAGGGTTTCAATATCGCCAACAGGTGGGTCGGGCCCCTTTGGATCTTGAGTCGCAGTCAAAGGCCAAAGCAACAAGTTTCAAACAAGAGCTTGTGGCAAGACCTCACACCGTCAGCATGTTCCTATGCGCGCTACGTGGCAGAAAAGGCAGCCAGGACACGTTACGACGCAATCAAGCCCCTCCCTACATTCAGAGGCTCTCTCCCCGCCCGCGTGGCTGTGTTTCCACAGGTGCTCGTTTCCCATCCGTGTCGGGAGCACTGGCAGTCACGCGCTATGCAGCGATGGTACTGCGACAAACCCCGCGAGCGGGCAGTGCTTCTGGGCCTTGCCCGACGGCCCGCGAGATCTTCGGCCTGGGGAAACCGGCCAGTACGTGCTACCTGAACTGGGTCTCAAGGAAGGGAGTATCACGTGAGCAAAACCCGCACAACGAAGAGACCGAGTTGTGCCGCGCCTTCTGCCGTAGGTTGCAAAGTATACCACATACCCTTGACTGATTTTCGTGTCCGTGTACTCTGTAGAGAAAACAGCGAACGTGTCGAAAATGGCGGCGATGGGACCGGCTCCTCGAGAACCTTTCCAAAGCGTATCATCTTGTTTTGCGTCCTCGGTGTCGTCGTGTAGTCGAGCTTTGAAAAAAGGTCCCAGGGGGTGCCGTATCTTACGCAACCTACGGCAGTTTGACTAAAATATACAGACAACTAGGTCATTCGGTGCACAGCAGGCGGGCACTGCGTTCCCCATCTCCCCCCGGGATGACTCCGGCAAGACACACTCGCTGCCGTTCTCTCGCAACTCGCTGACGGCGATCGATCGTTATTGACCGGCCGACTTCCCTCTCCCAAATCGTCATTTTAAGACCCCGATCGCCATCCCCTCTCCGGTTCTCTGTAGATGGGCGGGCAACATCTGGGCCAGTACCGGGTGCACGTCCGAGCTCTCCACAGACTACGACGACACTTTCCCGAGCACGCCCAAGTGCGTGACCAACTTCTGCTACGCGGATGGCACGTGTCCGGACTACTCCGGCCCCTCCGGGATCACCACCAAGGCGGAGTTCGCCATGGTGGAAAGCGGACTGGACTTCTACGACGTCAGCATCATCGACGGGTGGGTTCGTTTGTCTTAGCACGGGTGGGTACACCCTGTGTCCGTTGGCGAGTACACGCAAACAAACAAGAGACGAAAGCATGAAAGATGGGGTGGCTCCAGGCAAGATTCTGTACGGATATTGGGCAGTGTGCCAAAAGGCGACAGCGTAGTTTGGTTTAGTTCGAATCGTAACATGTTGCGAGCGACATAAGCGTTTGTCGACAAACGAGCGAAAATTGTTGCCTCCGAGCAACGGACAAATGAACGGACAGGCCAAGTGGGCCATACATACCCACGCTACCATTGGTTGGTTTTACTTCCATTTCTTTGCAATCGATCAACACCTAACAGATCCGTTGCCAATGGCACGACTTGGAAATTTCGACCGATCAGGAGCATGTCCCCCTGGCCCTCAAACCCCGACCCCACCCCAACCTGCACCCTCTCCCCCCTCCTTCCCTCCAAAACTCGCTTCTCCTGGTGCGGGGTATCAACAACAACAACCACACTACAGGTCCAACATTCCGATGGAGATTGTGCCTATTGACCCGATCTTCCACGTGAACGACCACTATTGCGGGGCTCCTGGGAAAACATCCGCATTCGGAGGTGGTTGGTTGGATGTTGTCACATGACGGGTTTTCGTTTACTTTCGGTGCGGTTCTGGAAATGGATGATAATCCCGGGAATTCCCGGGAAGACGGCTCCTGCGTGGAAAACCGGGAATCGTGTGGGATAGCCGTAAACCCGTGTTACTTTCTGAGCTTGGTGTCGGCTTTCCAGCGAGCAACTGACCACCTATTTTTGTTTTTTCACTGTCTCCTGGCTTCGAGAAAAGTGAGTAATACACGGTTGTCCGCCTGCGCGTAGGTTTTGGTATTAGGGCGAGCGGGCACGTCCCCCTCTCAAACACCCAGACGGGCGGGGTGCGAGCCGCCAACAGTCCTGATTGGAATGAGATGAGAGCACTCCAAAATAGACTGATGCGTTCTGCGTTGTCCGCCCGTCCGGCTCCATCTTCTTCCTCGGCTGCACAACAACGACAACAAACATCTATGGTCAGAGCTAGAGGGGTGCCGCTGGAAGTTTTCTCCGGATAACGTGGAAGGGTTAGAGGGGGCCAACCTTGCCCCCTACACGAGAGTGGTCTGGCCAGCTAACCTCGACGGCCTGACGCGCTGCGACGAGGACGCGTGAGTAGACCTATCGTGAATCGTGCTAAGTGTGCGTCGTTCTGCCAACCATTCTCAGTCGTTCAACATCAATCATTCTGCAATCTTTCTGCAAATCTTGTTCTGACGAAGCAAACCGAAGGTTGCTTTGTTTCGTTTGATTTTCAGGCGGTAGTCGTCGACCTCGAATCCCCGCTTCGTTCCACCTTTTCGTCAGATTTCGCCCTTTTATTCCTTGTACTCTTGAATGGGTTATCCTCATTTTTTACGAACCTTTCTTCAACTCTTGTCGATTCCGTCAGCGACTGCCAAGACAGCGCCAGCGAGAAGGAAGGCTACGCCTTCTGCGGCATCTACGAAGAACGTTCGAACGGCGGCGCCTCCTTGACGGGCTCAGCGATCCCGGGCGTCTGCGGCAAGCCTGTCGGCTGGATCGGGGCCCAGACCTCGTGCGGCACGACAGCGAAAGATGGGGAGACATTCCCCGGAGGGTTTCCGTACAACTGCGACCTCGCCACCAGACACGGGACAATCAAGCAGGTGCGGTTCCTGGAGCGTGGACCCACTTCAAGCGTAAGAACATATCAACCCTATGCATGCGCAACAATAGTAGTGGTTCGGCTGAAGTCGTTCCAGCACGATTGTATGGCCTATCTAAGTAGATGATGTGGCGTAAAGGTTATTAATAGCATGTGTACATACAACATCGACCAACGACAACTAGTCTATAGAACTTCAGAGAAGGTTTTGTTAAATTCCACTCCTTGTACCGCGTTGGCCTGCGCACAGGGTGAGTGGCGAGCGGAGTCCCCGTTTGGTGTTGAATAGGAAAGTGCGTCATTCTGGGTAGAAGGTGACGTTGACGTATTAACAGAGACAGACGTAAAATACTCTATTTCTTGTCGCTCAAGTGCGCACGAAGAGCTCTGATTTGTTCGCAGCAGGTGGTCGTGTTGCCCATGGAAAGACCTGTCCCACCTTCATCTGACCAACTCACGGCACGGCCCACCCTCTCGTGTCCTTTGCGTGGCGCCAGAAATAAACGTGTTCTGTTACCGTTGGCGGCAGAACCGAAGCCGCTCACACTCACTCGCCCACCCACGCACCCGCCTACCGATCCGCACTCTGCAATTATTCGGTGTATGCAACTAAACCCTTGTGCGAAAACGGCAACAACATATGTTGCCTTAGGCGGCTAAATGGGTCGTCGATGAGGTTCACCTCTTATTGTGTGTGCTCATGCCCTCTCCCGTCTTGTCTCCATCGATCTCACCCACTCCCCGGTTGTAGCTGGTAAGATGCAGCGGGTCCACCTACAGCACGCAGGCGTGCTACCTCGTCGGAGCGGAGGTATGTGCGACTTTCGGCGCCACGTGTGCCTTCAACGTCTTGTTGCTGCGGCTACCCTTTGTTGCGTGCCCCGTCCGTAGTCATCAGTGCCGTCTGCGTGTGGACTTTCCTCTTGGTGGCGTTCCATTTGTGGCCGTCAGGGTGACGGTGCGGTGCTGGCTTTGTATATCGAATAATCTTGCTTGTTGTTCTACTACATTAGAGAAGCGCCTCGCACGGGGTCGGAGAGGGGATGAATCTTCAGCAATTAATAGCATATCCAACGACGGGGTGGAAAAATCTCTGATTCGTACCTTGTCTCTACAACGTACTAATCGGGGCCTCTACAAAGACTCAATTCTCGTTTAAACGTGCTCTTGCGTGAGACAATCGGCTGTAACGGCGGTTTTCTCTCGGAGACATACCTGAGGGTCTCACTTTTTGCCGCAGGTGGGGATACCGTGTGAGAGCTGCCGACGCCGAGGTTGCAAATTTTCCACGATTGATTCTCTTTTCAAGTTTTGGGGGACGTGAAACAACGACCTCGGTATGTAAACGAAGAATCGAACAAGCACGCCCAACCCCCCACCACCACCGGCGGTTTGCTTCGAGTGTGTCCACGGGGCTAGTTGCGGCTTCGCGCCCCGAGAGACATCGAGAACGGGGGGGGGGGCAGGACGCCCATCACCAACCCCGTGTCATGGGCACAACAAGCAGCAACACCTCGCAATTCTCCCCCTGAGCCCCCACAGCACATACACTTCGCGTGCTATTAATAAGAACACACACTCCGCGTCGCCCCGCGTGCTGGATGCCACACTCGCAGGACTCGTGTTGCGGCTGCCCACCCTGGGACATCGAGAACGGCGGGTGCGTGTCGACGAACCCCGACTGGACGAACGCGGCCCTCCCGTGGGCCAACTTCTTCAAGTCGGCTTGCCCTACCGCCTACAGCTTCCCTCGCGACGACCGAACGAGCATGTTTGTCTGCTCCGACGAGGCCACCGACAACGCGGCGACGATAGCGGGGAAAAACACCCAGTCATGTAAGTTGTCTTCTTCACCAAAAGGAAGGTTTGGTTTATGCATTATGCGGTGGTGATTGGTGTTGGTGTTGATACTGTCAGCGTCTTCCTTGTGAACACTCTTCGTTGGTTTGACAGCAGGTATTCCAAGGTCAATTATAGCCCGCGCGAAATGAAGAGGATACGTGGGAGAAGATTGAAACGCCATCATGTTCGACAGAACGCATACAGTAAAATCTGCACTCAATTGAAGTATTCGAGCGGCCAAAATGATGGACCCACATCGGGTAAGTAAACGTAAATGCCGTCGAAAGTGGAAAAAGCGATATCTTGTCTCGTTCGCTCCCGAACCTTCGAGATAACTCGTCGGCAGCGAAATCTTGAAAGATGTGACGATGCAGTGGGATCCTGCGACCACTCCTCCCACCCCAAGCTCAGAACTTACTCTAAGCTGCGACCATTTTCAGAAAATTGCCCCACCGGCGCTGCGAGAGCTCGCAGCGCCGTCGGGGGGGTGTCCTTCACATGAGGTGCTCCAGCCTCGCCGTAGGCATCACCAAATTCAATCCTGACGTTAACATGATCCGCTTCGAAGAAGAAAACACAGTAGCAGTTTCCCCAGAATCTGTATCCAGCCAAGCCGGTACAACAGATCACCAGAGCCTTCCTGCGCCGATCTTCCATGCTCAATATCTTCCCAGAAAAATGATAACACTTGCTTGACGAGCAATCGAGATTGAAACATTGCAGCAGGAGAGGGTGAAATGGATGTTACACATACACCAGGCGCGTCAGGCGCTACCACTCCTCCTTAACCCTCCTGTATGCCAAAATCTCTCGCGTGTCAGACTCTCGACCCCTTTCTCCCGTCCGTGCCGTTCATTGTCGGTGACACCCACGAACAAAAATAATCGCAGATTTGATCAGGTTTTGTCCTGGTGATTCGGAGCAAAGCTTCTACGGCTGAAGGGAGGTCCGAGACCCCCCCCCTCTGTTCCCCCCCCCCGCCTCCACCGAAAGACGTGGGAACCCAGCATCAAAGAATTTTGGTGAGGTTTCCGCGAAATATGTGGGATTCCCAATAGCAAGTGGGTGGAGAGAGGAGGACGTGCAGGCCTCATTGCTCTCCCCCCATCATCTCCTTTTCACACTCGGGTATTTTGGACGCTGTGAATTCGAAAAGTCAGGCTAGTATCACTCACGGTAGAGAACGAAAGCGCTTAGGTTTGATAGGTTTGATCCCTTAGAGGATCAGTCAGAAGAGCACGCGGGCGGCGTTTGTTTGTCCATCCGAAAGCAAATTGATCGCGAAACAGTTCTTCTCAGTTTTGTTGTTGTGACGGTTGGTTGCCTTTTGTGAGGGCAGGGGGGGGGGGGGGGGGGGGGGGGGGGGG